GCCGGTGCGACTTCCGTCGTCATCGTGGGACCACGGACATGATCATCGCCGCCCGCCAACTGCAGGAGAAGTGTCAGGAGATGCGGACCCACCTCTAGTCTACCTTCGTGGATCTGGCGAAGGCGTCTCGACTCCGTCTCCATGCATCTCCTCTGCCGTATGTGTGATCCGAGTCTGAGACTATCACGGTACGTCAATCACCGTGGCCTAAAAGGCTGCTGACGGACGCCCCAATAAAGTCCACGCAGTCTGCCCAGTTGTGTGAGTGTATGTGTGGAGTGACAGACTGGTGGGGTCAGAGCCAGGCTGAAGCGGCACCTTCCTAATGTGACCAACGGCACTCACGTATGTGAGATTAACGCTGCCAGCCCCCGTTCTGTGAAATCCTGGTGCTTGTGTTTGGGGGGGCCAGGTCATGCATTTGGCGCGCGCAGACGAGGTCACTGCATATGTCAGCCACCACGCCCATTCATCGCACCTGTCAACTGACCTGCTCGGACAGTGACTGGGGTCAAGGAATGAGAGGGGAGAATGAGGTCGACGACTCAGCGCATTTTCCCCACTACAAGCAAGCTGACGCGCCTGAAGCTACCACGGTACGCTAAAAGCAGTGACTTGGAAGGTTGCCAACTGACGGGATAACTGGGACCTCGCAGCCAGCCCATATTGTGTGTTTTTGTGGAGAGGCCGGCTGGTGGTCTCAGAGTCAGGCTGGAATGGCTCCTTCTTAATGTTGTCTTTATGGCACTCCCACTCCGTGGGATCCCAGCCTGATGTGACGGCATGCCTAGGTGCGGCTCCAGACATGCCAACCACTTCTGTTGTTGTTGGCTAAAATCCTGGTCCTGCTGTGTGGACCAGAGGATGCGGAGTGGAGCGCCAAGGTGCGGGCTCGACCGTGTCATCCACATGAGCTCTCCCGCGCTTCGGGTCTTCTCGACTCTGTCTTGACACCGGGTCCAGGTGCAGGAGGAGGGAGTGCGGTAGATGTTGTACAAGTCTAGATTCACTATAAACTACATCACGCGCAAATCAGTGCCTACTTTTCCTCGCTGTGGAGGAAACGGCCGACATCGTCGGATGCGACGGTCGAACCGCGTTGTACATGTTTCCTATAAAGCACGTCCGGATTTATAAGGACGCAGAGAACCAAGGAAAGTATGCATGCTACTTAAGTAGTCATTTTAGCAAGTTTGATTTTTGCAGACGATGAGGAAAGCACGATTTAGATGGCCTCCTTCCTAGCACTAACATTGAACACTAAACCTTACTAAGGAAATCCTTTCTAACCGAAGTTGCATCATAGAATTTCGGCTAATGTTTCATGAATTACGTAATCTACGGCAAAAGGAAACCTAGTGATGCTAACGTAATATGTTGTCGAAAAACACTGCAATTTGCCCTGAGAAGGAGTTCCGGCATGCACAGTTTGCAGTAGCCAAAACCTGTAAAAACGGAAGGCGGAAACTCACGAAGAAGACCTCCTTGCGTGGGCCTTCGCGGCAAATTCGTCAACCCTGTCAGAGTTGATATGAGGAAAAGGGCGCTGGTGGAGGCGACAGTGAGCTTCAGTTGCTTCCTCCTGTAGGAAATTGGTAACCGGGTTGGCACCGTCGCATTCCTAGAACATGAAAAGAGGACAGCGATGTAAATGTCAATTAGACGTTTGCGACCTTATCACGATTTTGACTGCTAATGGGTAAATAAAGCCGGATAAAAGATAAAATGAATCCGGCCAGACGACGAGAAGCAAAGAGAACTTTCCGAAACAGCTAAGGTTGACGTTGGCTAAAATACCTACCGGTGAAATTAGTTTGAACATTATTCATTCGTTAAAACCTTAGAGAAGGTCGTGATGGTTCGGTATATTCAACGTCGGACATCAGCATGCCAACAAAATCACAAAAAACTATGAACAAGTAAGCACGATGATCAAAACTATGGCTTACGAACGCGCGTAAGTTCCCATGACAACGAAGGAGGCTGCAGGGTATATATATATATATATATATATATATATATATATATATATATATGATAATTAAACTACCTAGACGACAGTGAGGAGTCATGATCATCAAAAATTATGTGGCGAGGACCCCGGGTTAAACAAGAGTCGACTTCGATCTTCTTGCAATCAAGAGGAAATACTTCAGTTGTTCAGGTTATCATACTGAGTTAAATCATTTAGCACTGCACCCATTGGTGGCTGTAAAGTGTATTGATGACAGATAATTCAGGACACAAATAACGACAAACAAAAGATAATGCAAAGAAAATCAACACACATCTGCCTGCATGCGATGTATTCAGGCGAGACAAACCCTAATGGGCACAACAATTTAGATGTCAGGTACAACATTCTGGGGATAGGATGGAGGCGACAACGGTCAATACCAACCAAATAAGCGAATACTAGCACGAACGTCAGCTAAAGCAAGGTGCGAGGTGAGGAAGTCGCAGTTTCTTGATTTCTCAAGCGAGCAAAATTGGTGTCTCTTCCTCAGGCTTTTGACCTGGTCCGATTCCGCGCTGTCACGATCTAGGTCATACAGTTTTGTCCCGGACTATCGCAGGACGACAACGTAGTTATGGAATGGTCATTGTTTTTGAATGTAAGCAAACCTCTATTTTCTGTGGGAGCAAGTGACTATAGAGGGTGCAC